TTTACACTATAGCGTACGGTCTACAAAGATATTTACACTATAGCGTACGGTCTACAAAGATATTTACACTATAGCGTGTGGTCTACAAAGATATTTACACTATAGCGTACGGTCTACACAGATATTTACACTATAGAGTGAGTTCTACAAAGATATTTACACTATAGTGTGTGGTCTACAAAGGTATTTACACTATAGCACGTGGTCTACCAAGATATTTACACTATAGTGTGTGGTCTACAAAGGTATTTACATTATAGCATGTAGTCTACAAACACAATAGCGTGTGGTCTACAAAGATATTTACACTATAGCGTGTGGTCTACACAGATATTTACACTATAGCGTGTGGTCTACAAAGTTATTTACACTATAGCGTGTGGTCTACAAAGTTATTTACACTATAGCGTGTGGTCTACAAAGTTATTTACACTATAGCATGTGGTCTACAAAGTTATTTACACTATAGCGTGTGGTCTACTAAGATATTTACACTATAGCGTGTGGTCTACAAAGTTATTTACACTATAGCGTGTGGTCTACAAAGATATTTACACTATAGCGTGTGGTCTACAAAGATATTTACACTATAGCGTGTGGTCTACAAAATCATTTACACTATAGCGTGTGGTCTACACAGATATTTACACTATAGCGTGTGGTCTACAAAGATATTTACACTATAGCGTGTGGTCTACAAAGATATTTACACTATAGCGTGTGGTCTACACAGATATTTACACTATAGCGTGTGGTCTACACAGATATTTACACTATAGCGTATGGTCTACACAGATATTTACACTATAGCGTGTGGTCTACACAGATATTTACACTATAGCGTGTGGTCTACACAGATACTATCACCAAGACATGAACTTACACGTATACAAAAAAATGTGACTATACTTGTGGATTTCTAGTAAGACTTGAAAGTTATGTACATATTTCAATTTGTTTATTTTAAACATTTCATTGCACTATGTTGATAATAATAGATAAAATTAGTGATGTAGCAGAGAAAATGGAAAATATAAATATTTTCCTTAAAAAAATATTTTATGGACATTATACAAATGAAATTCAAAACTCTTAGGATAAAAAAATAGCATTTTATACTTCATAGAAAAATCATCTTGCAAGTGAACTATTCAAAGTCTTGAGTGCAAATAACTTCATTAAACAAAAAAGTTCCTTATCAGTAATAGTAGAAAAATAAAAATTAAATCTTTAATTTTCTGAAACTACATTTAGGGACGTTCTTGTCAAGTTTGAAACAATTTCAGCCACTATTTTTAGTTTTGGAACAGAATATGACGAGAGCGACGTTACCTACTAAAAACAATGATTAGCCATTAGTCATAGGATTAATAGGGGGGGGGGGCATGAATGACAAAAGTTTGGGGAAACTCAACATTAATTCTTTGCTGCAATACACACATGTTCCCATCTATAGCACTATTGTGTGAGTTTAAAATAAGGTACTACCATGAAGAAAGAATAACAGTCCAATACCCACACAGCCAAAAATTACCATCACATTTTGTACGAGTTGCATTCAATTTAAGATAAACACTTTTCATCATGTAAACACAACTATACATGACTCCATGAACTTTCCACTTGAATCTTATATGTAAAAATGATGTCAAGGTTTATGCTTTGTCACGTACCCCGTGATAAATTACACCAATAAAAGTTAATACAAGTGTGATTGTTGCTAATTTAATTGCAAGTCGATGGAAAGAGTGTTGCATCAAATATGTAGATCACTGATTTTAAGAAATATTAACTTTTTGTTTTGAATTTTTTGCATGCATGTGCGAAGAACCTGTACATTGATCGTGAATGTAAATCTCATTAAAAGCCAATAATTTACATGGCTTACCAGAATAAGAAATAATGTGTTGTTTTAGGGCAAATAGGATTTCAGTTTGTATATACAGAAGAACTGGAAACAAATCTGAATTTTTAATGAAGTATTTTCACTAAAAATCTCTTCACGAATATATTGGGTGAAATCGTTGACTGCTCCAAGTGCAAAGTGATTTTCATGTTAAGATTAAAAATACTTTTCATCATTTGAAAAATCTCAAATTTCACTTACATGTTCTCTAAAACTCCTAATCAAATTTTATAAGGAGTTGGTCAAATTGATTAACCTCATAACCTCCAAAACAAAATTTGAAATAAATCTGAGTAACCTTTTTCTTTCTTTCTAGAATGACCTTAAATTATAACAGCATACATCTGTTTATACTTAAATTTTATTGTCTTTTTAATTGTTTCTTAACTAATATTCCTGCAATAAAATTAGTAAATCACAAGGTGAACATGGATCTCAAGTTACCCTATCAAGTTACACAATGCACAGGCTACTTCAATACTTGCTAGAGTATCCCATGAAAAATTATTAACTTTATTTAATCTAACCTAAAAATTATCTCATTTTCACATTTTAGTTACTTTTATAATAATAAAAACAAGAAATAAAGTACTCACCAGGGTCTTTTTTTTTTATATCAAATGTTGATGACACTTGATCATACTTTTTCATACTAATGATGTTACTATACAAAATATTTTTTTCAACAATGCACCAAAAGAACACAGAATAATAACACTGAAAAAGCAGACAATATCACATAACTAGAAAACCTCACGACTAGCATTACACTCAAGAATAAAGGTTACCAATTGTACTGAAAATATGAAAGTCTAACAGTTTTCATCAATATGAAGCACCAATCACTAGGCAATAACCTACTCCAGAAATTGGAAATTTATATTTAAACTTGAGGATAATGGTTATTATTTAATCTTACTGAAAATATAAAAGATTAAGAGTTTCATCATACTAATCTTTACCTTTTCCATAGAGAATAGCTACCAAAGTTGTTTAATCTCTTTCAAATCCTTCTGTCAACACAATTTCGTTTATCAGGTTGGTTAATAAGATTAAGTCTTTCTTTTTTCTCTGTTTTGACTAGACCTGAAGAGTAAAAGAAAGTAGAGAGTAATGAAAAAATACATACATTCCATTATAACCCTATGCATATATTACTAAACCTAAAAGTCAACCTTAAACCAATCAATTCGTTTTTCAATGTTCTGACTATTCAAATTAATATTAACTTCTGATCACAGCAAGTTACCTACTTTAAGTATTTAGATTTAGTACAAAACAAAATTAAAGTGCTAATGAACATAGGTAATGGAATATATCCTTCTTAAATTCTTACTTATAAAGATTAAATAGAATGAATTATTTCATTAGTTGAGTAACCCTGCTGTTACTGTTAACAACTTTAGGCCTTAAACTGTAAGCCTAGTATATCACGAGGTTTGATCAGCTTAGATGTAGGCTAGTCCTAAGTCAATATACTAACCTATCACTAGTATCAGTGCAAAGTAGCCTATAATAAAATTAAAAGATTAAAATGACAAGAATAATAAAACTAGATACTTTACACATTCTAACTAATGCTGTTATTGTAAGTAACATAAAATAAATAATAAATATTCCCTTCAGGACCCCCGAGCAAATTACAATAATACTCAACCAACTCTTTACTGATCTCAGTTCACCATTCCGTGGTAATTATCAGCACTTACGCCAGGAGGCATAAGTTTACAATATAAAAAGTATATTTCTAATAGGTTCACCAGTGTTAAAAAATAATTATTCGTGTTCAACATCTAAATAAGTTAAATTATTATAACTTATTAACAAATAATACCAAACAATTTTTGACAATCATAACACAATAACGTAATTCCAATAATGACGATTACACTTCAATTTCCATTGCCAGAGGTCTACTACTTATTTGCCATATAGAAATATAAATATATTTGTATATACTTTTATTTTTCAAAACTATAGTTAGATATTATAGTTTCAAACAAAATAAAAATTGTGTTTAAATACCTTTTCATACTCGGATACAGCTACGATGTAACTGTTATTTAACATTACTTTCATTAAGTAATTACCAAATATATAAATAATTTTGACCAAATACAAGCAAAAGATAGTTTTATTACTCTTGTTAAATTTCAATTATACTTCAGGAAAAATATTAAGAACCGAAATTGTACAGTTAACAGTGAAAAGTTTGTTCGATATGGTTCCCTGGTGGCTCTCCGATAAGTTTGAAAGCTTCCAACGCTGGAAATTGTGGCTCGATACTTGCGAGGAGTGAAGCCTAGCCAAGGTTTTACACTTCATAACCAAAAAAACACATTGTTCGACAAGGAATGACAAGGAAATTAGTATTCAATACAAGTACAAGAGAGTTACAAAACCATGCAAAAACCTACAAATTGTAAATTCGGGACAGTTACTTTCACTGTAATGTTTACTAATTCCTTGGAATGTAATACTAATTTAAATTTAATTTCAACTGAAATAGATGGCGACGCAAATGAAATCGGTATACATTGCGACTTAAATAAAAATTATTCTGAAAGTCGTTATTCCATCACCAGCGTATTTATATAAATATTTACAATTTTGTTAATATATGCTAGGAAAATATAAACAAGCTACAAGTTAGAATTTTGGCTAAATATTAGCATTTATCAGTATAAGTACTTTTAATAAGCGGAAAATATCGTTATAAAGAATTGGCATAGTGAAGATTATTTCGCTTCCAAACAATTTTAATAAAAATATTTTTTGCTATATTTTTATTGCCATCTATTATTCAAAACATAAAATATTTTGTAAAAAAAAAACCATGTAAGACTCTACTGCCATCTATTGAGTAACAAACTAACTGTAGTGAAATTCGGTATCCAAAATATAAACTATTTTATGAGACCATATAAGCCTTTATTGCCATCTATTGACCAAACTTCTAACTGCAATGAAATTGGGTAGCATTTACCGCCATCTATTAAGTTAAAACCTAACTATTTTATTTAAGTTGTGGATTTTATTATTTCAAAATATGATAATAGATGACAGGTCAGTGTCCTTTATTGTATTAATTTCATTAAACATTATGCAATAAAAGACAATTTGTAATTAAACTATAATTCCAAGATATAAACTACTCAAGATTCTTAGATAGAGAGAGAAAAAGAAGGGAAAAATAATATTCAAAATGTTTTATATACAGGTATTTTAATATTATATTATCCGTTGTCTATAAATGTAACAATTGTATTGATTTTAATATAGTTTAAAATTAAAGTATTTAAAAATTGCGATAATAGACGGCACTACAAGAGCACTCATAGACTTACCTTCAAACAAACAAGAACTTAAATAGTCCAAATTCACTCCTTATATTCACAACCCTATATCGTTTTGCCTCATTATGCTCACATAGGTTTCTCGACATTTAACCCCATATTTCAACCCTTCCTAGATATTTGTATATGTCACGAATATGGATACGTTTTACTATCAAAACCTGATTTGAACACTCAAAACTAGAGGTTTGGCATTGTGGCAAATGATGAAAAAAATTAGTCAATTTTATATATTTTTACTTTTGTTTAGTAACAGTTCTCTCTTTTTTTTACAGAAAATAAACTAAACAAGTTAAAATATTCAAAAAGAATTGTAAACTAAATGAATTTCTCTAATAGTTAGGGTAATCAAACAAATTTGTTACGATCCTCTGTATGTAAAAATCTTTTGCTCCAGTGGTTCGGCGGTAAGTCAGCAGGCTTACGACGATAAACATTGGGTTTCGTAGTATGCAGAGCACAGTTTTGTTTGTGTAGATAAGGGTACCTCTTCGGACAAAATGTAAATGTTCGCTGTGTTATTTCTATTCACCTAAAATTGGTGTAAAATACTTTGTTTTATGTATTTCAATGACCAATTACTTGAATATTATCTCTGACACCGAAGTTTGGTTGGTCACGTATCGTGCCTGTTCTCCTATACTTTAACACTTAACGTAAAATAAACTTCATGATTTACCGAGCATGACGTATTGATTAATGAGCCATTTCGAGGATCGAAAGGTCCAAGGTTCGCTTTGCACTGCGATGTCATCGAACAATTCTTTGAGTGCATTATAAAAGTGAGAGTCAAGCTCTTGATTTGATTTAAAGCCGGATGAAGACCTTATGACGACACGTGCTGCTGGCTAGCTACCTTCTTCTGACCACTAGTTCAAAATTACCCTGACCTACTTCGTGTGTCGCGCGTAAGGTTTAGCTCAGTTTGAAAATTCCTAAGACGAATATTACTATTTGATTGTTGAACCTTTTGCGCAAAACTACACAAAGGGAAGGCAGCTAGTCAACGGTACCCACCGCCAACTCTTGAGCTACTTTAATCGAATAGTGAGAATTTATCACCGATCTTTGTTTGCTTTAACTGATGTTGAAGCTCCGTGAACTTCGAAGTAATATAAAACGTGTTTTCTATTTCACTGACAGATGGCGCGCGCATTTCGTTTGCAAAAGAAAAACGCGAGAGATGAATTAGCCATTTGCAATTAAAATTGCGGAGGAGATGTGTATTTAGAACTGAATAGAATTTGTATCCCGAAGAAAGATTTAAGTATCATTGTAGTTTAACATGTGGATAAACAGTTTGTCTTCAACAGTCAACTATATGACTAAATGGATACTGTGATATGGATCACCTTTTAGGCGAACACTCACAAACTTATTTCTTGGCTTGACACCTGTCTTACTGAATTCAAACTGAATCCCCAAGGTTTGTTTGTTATTAATCACAAAGCTACACAATGAATTATATGTTCTGTGCCCACAACAAGTATCGAAACCCGAGTTTTAGCGTTATAAGACTTCAGGTATACCGCTGAGCCACTGGGGGTCGAACCCCCCCAAAGAAACTATTTACTATAGACAAATACCCATTAAGATTAGTCTGGGGGTCGAACCCCCAAGGAAATTATTTACTATAAATAAATACCCATTAATATTATTTATTCTTTTTTTTTAAATGAACGTAGGTTTATACTAAATTCACAAATTAGAATAATAATAATTCCAACTTTCTATTCACAGTTTAAACTACACATGATATTTAAATCGTTATTCGGGATTCAAAATCCGTTCAGATCTAAACACCTACTATCTACTCCTATATGTTCCCGGATCGTGTATTAATACACATTTGGTGACTGTAATGCCACCTATATTGTCAAAACAATACGCCAATTACACTTGCGAATAGCAAACATGTATGAGTACGAAGCAGAACTGAAAAAACAACTCTTAAATGCTACAGACTCTGCTTTGTTTATTTCTTTTACAGCAAAGTCACAGTGGGCTATCTGCTGATTCTTTCGTGGGAAATCGAACCCCGGATTTTAGCATCGTAAGTCCGTAAGCTTACCGATGTCTCAAGGGGAGACTCCAGACTTTGAAGGTTGCACACAGTATCAGAAAATATCTAATTATCGTCTTTATAATTAATTGTAAATCCATTTTTACAACAACAACAACAAAAATGGTTTCTCTCGAAAATAATAATACATAATGGGGTATCTAATATTTTTATATTTTAATGAAATCGTCCATTAGGTTTACTTATTGTTTTCCGTTAACAACTGTTTAGTTTCTTCAGGTTGTATATTAGTTCTTTAGTAAACTTTATTATACCAATCCAAGGTTAGTTTGGCTCGGATCCAAGGTTAGTTTGTACCAATCCAGGGTTAGTTTGGCTCGGATCCAATAATCATATGTTTCAAACATATGTTTATTTTATAAAGTTTTGGTGATATACAAAATAGAATGTTGAGAATAATCACTAAAAGTGTTTTGAAATATTACATCTTTGTTAAAATCAAAACCGAAATAGCAGATTAATAAATTATTTTCTAGACGAATGTTAATTCACACACATTTTTGTACCTTTTCTTATACTTAGTTACATCATTTTGCGAATTAGAGGGCTTTAAGGGAGCATTGCTATCCATTCAGATTCCCCAATTTTGCGAATATGCGTATATTAGAGAGCTTTAAGGGAGCATTGCTATCCATTCAGATTACCCAATTTTGCGAATATGTGTATATTAGAGAGCTTTAAGGGAGCATTGCTATCCATTCAGATTACCCAATTTTGCGAATATGCGTATATTAGAGAGCTTTAAGGGAGCATTGCTATCCATTCAGATTACCCAATTTTGCGAATATGCGTATATTAGAGAGCTTTAAGGGAGCATTGCTATCCATTCAGATTACCCAATTTTGCGAATATGTGTATATTAAAGAGCTTTAAGGGAGCATTGCTATCCATTCAGATTCCCCCCATTTTCCCCATGCTCCTAGTTGAGGGCTTAAACGTATAGTATTTTGATTGCGTTTTATATTTAGTTAAAAACGTCAAAAGTTTGGATTTGATACCTGTGATAACCCCAGCCCAAGTAGCCTATTTTGCAGCTTTCTTTTCAGAAGCTCTCCCCCCAGTGGCACATCGGTATGTCTGTGGACTTACAACGCTAGAATCCGGGTTTCGATACCCATGGTGAGCAGAGCACGGATAGCCCATTGTGTAGCTTTGTGTTTAATTACAAACAGAACAAAACCTAACAACAAATAAATAAAACTACACGGTTTATGTGTTTACAATGGAAACTACGTATGGTCATGCA